TGGTGCCGCCTCATTAGAGAATTGAAGTTTTTTCTCTATAAAAGTTCAATGAAATAGGATAAGTGCAAGGCCATATTAGCACTAAGCGAGTTAGAGGAACTTGTGAAAAGTTTAACACTTGTGTGTGTGATCTCATCGGTATAGTCACAAAGAATAACTGGTTCAAAGCACTTTAGCTACTTGGAATTCTGATAATACTTTATGAGATTTACACTATGAATAGATTCAAATCGAAAAGATATCTAATTTTTATGCATAAGTGTTGATTATTTGATTATTTGATAGACACTGATTTTGAACAAGTGGGGGATTGTTAGAATTTTAGTTGTTTAAAATTTAAAAAAAAAAAAAATTGGGCTTAACCATGCGGCCGCACGGGTTAAGCCCATGCGGCCGCATGAGGCCCTCCCGAAACTGGGAGGGCCACTTGCATTATAACCATGCGACTGCATGAGCTATAACCATGCGGTCCCATAGTTATACAAAATGACCGTTGGGGATTCGTTTTTTTACCGTTTTTCTTTTGAATTTGGTGCCTTTTCAACATAATTTTGGATTATTTCAATGGGCAAATTATAATTTGCATTGCTAAATTGATTTTATTTTTTTTAAAGTGGAAACTATAAAATTTATATTTAATGAAATTAAAATTTTAATCCAAAATCTAAAAAACAACTCGGTTCGATTTTGTAAAGTTTTTTTAAAATCGAAACTTAAACAAAACCATTTTAAAACGATTTGATTCAAATTGAGGGAAAAAATCATTCGAACGTACGAGTTTGGTTCGATTTGTATTTCCATGATTTTTATTGGGCAGCCCTATTATCTGGTGAAGTAATTAATTTTTCGTTTGTTTCCCATTAATGTAAGAATGAGAATGAAAAATATAGCTGTTACGAACCTACACAAAAAATAGAAATTCAAATATGGTGGTTTGAAGTGATAGAATTGTCATATTTTTTATTTTAATGGTCAAATAATGAGAAACAAACGGAAGCTAAGTAACAAATCCGAATAATATTAGAAGATATACTATTTATTTTGGAGTTATTAACGAGAGTTAACGGAGTTATTGCTTTTGAAAATAAAAAATTATTATAGAGTTATTAACATATTTTCTAAGCTTAAAAAATTTACTTATCAGGCATTTGTTGTGGTACCGTTTCTGTGGAGTCGTGTCCAATTACTGTTTGTCATTTTTTCTTTTTTAAACGTTATACTGTTTTATTGACTTTCACACACAACCATCATTTTTATTTCTCTTTATTACCTTTTACATGCAATAATCGTTTTCATTTCTCCTTCTTCTCTTTGTGTTTACTATTTTTTCACACAACTATTCACGCTCTTTACTCTACTTCCCCACACAACCAAGACTTCTTTTTTCTTCTTTATTTTAAGCATTTTCTAATAAAAAATTTATTTGTCCATTTTTCATTGAATTTATAGTATAAAACGATATCGTTTCTCTACGTTGAATGGCAAAATGACGCGTTTTATTCCATTAATATGATAAAAGGATTGAATATATTTTATATATAATTATAGAAAAACATTAATAATTTAATCAATAATAATTAAATTTTGATCAATGTATGTTATATTCACTCATTATCTAAATATTTGAGATGATTTTTTTTTTCATAAATGGAAAAAATAAAAATAATGACTAAAATCAAGAATCCTAATTTTAAGGACTATCCTTATTAACTGCATCTAGATGGTATTTCATTTTGTAAAAATTCAAATATTAGAACATTGAACAAGAGATAGTGAAATAAAGTATAATCTAAAATAATTAAGCGAGGCGAATTGTAATTATCATTTTATAACAATATACTAATAAACAAACTAAATGATTTAACAAATTTAAGAACACAAAAAAATTTCCAGGAAAAAAAATTATGATAAAGTTTTGAAATTAAATTGATATAATTAAAATTAAAATTAAATATTATTTAATTAAAATTAAAAAAATTATGTTTTATCATAAACTAAAAAGAATTTTAAATCGAACAAAAAATTTATTTATAATATGAAGAAAAAGAAATTTTAAAATAATTTCCAAAAAAAAAATAAAAGAACAAAAGAAAGTTAGGAAAATTAAATAAAGAATGTATAAATATTATTTAACTAAAATTGAAAAAAATTAAGTTTTATCATAAAGAGAAAATAATTAAAAAGAATTTTAAATCGAAAAAAATTATTTATAATACGAGCAAAACAAAATTGGAAAAATAAAAATGGAGAAACTCTCAATCACGTTCTCACCAAAGTTTTTCTCCGTAACATGGAGAAATTGGATCCTGGAAAAACTCTCCATAACACCATAACACGAAGAAATGGAGAAGAACTCTTCATAACACAGAGAAAGTTTTCCCCGTGGTTTTCTCCGTGTTATGGAGAGAAGCTCTCCATCACACGGAGAAATTATCAATGTTGCTCATTTATTTATTTATTTTAATTTGTTTTGTTCATATTGTAAATAATTATTTATTTTTTTTAAAAATTTTTTTGTCTTTATTATATGACTTACTTTTTTCAATTTTAATTAAATATTTTTTTATATATTCTTTATTTAATTTTCATAACTTTCTTTTGTTTAATTTATTAATTTTTTTTGAAAGTTTATTTAAATTATTTTTCCTTCATATTTTAAATAATTTTTTGTTCAATTTAAAATTCTTTCTAATTTTTTTCGTTTTATAATACAAATAATTATTTTTTAGTACAAGCTTTATTAATGTTTATATGAATCTTTATTTACCTTGTTCCGTGCATTTCTATTGAATTTTTCTATCTATAAAATTTTACATTTACCGGTAAAAAAAGTACTCATATCCCATCTCTAAAACTTATCAAGTAGCAACAAAGACAAAGTTTGACTAATTATCATCATATTTTTTCTATGCTATTATATACTCAATTACAGCATTTCACGTGCATCTTACTAGTTGTCAAATAAGCCCCCGTTTGCCCCCCTTTAAAACTCTTCAATTCAATTTAATTTTTTCTCTCTTATTTTCAACCAAACAATCTTCAATAAAATAATATTACACTCAAATCGAAAATTTTTCAACCATATAATTTTCAAAAAAATATTATTCCCTTCATTATAAATTCAAATAATGAAAGCCAAATGGGAGCTAAGTTTCAGATATTATTTTATAATTGAAAAGCTAAAAAACAAATAAATTACTTTATTTTAATGATAAATTAACAAAAATTTAGGGCATGTTCTCTTTACTGTTTTCAATCCATTTTCTATTTTTGATTTTTCAAAATAGTAAAAACACATTCTCTTCTTTATTTTCGAAAATGAATTTTAGAAAACAAAAAAATTATTTGTATTGAAAACTCAAAACGTCAAAAAATGACGTTTTGAGCATTTTCAAGCCAAAACACGCAGAACATGAACACACGGGAAACGGTCCATTTTCCCCAAAATTCTGCATCTTTTTCTTGAGCTACCAATCCTTCGCCTCTCTTCATCAATAACAACCACCACCCGCCCCCAAGCCGCCGGACCCATACACCATCGGCACCTCCTCACCTTGCTCTACAACCTCCGACCATCGCCTGCCTACTAGACCGCTGGAAACAGCACTAATCCCAATCCAAAACCGTGAGTGTAGTCACGATTTTTCCTCATTTACTTTCACATCCGGCGACCCTCTCGATCGTGGAGCACCACCACAACATTCTTCTCAACTAGGCGCATCTAGTTCTACCATAGGTCACCCACAATTTCGTCCAGAAATCGGGTGAGCTTATTGGAGTAGAATCAAATTTGGGGGTTGGAAAAATGTAAGTTCTCTTCATTTTTTATCGGCTGGATTTGTGAATTACACAAGTTTGGGAAACTTTGATGTGTGAAATCTGTTTGTTGGTTTTGGTCTTGGGTTCTAGACCTGAGTTTGGGTCTAATGTTGTTTTTGCTGAATATGGGATACATTTTAATCTGAGTTGGAATAGATGTTACTGATGCAAGACGTAACATAGAGAGGAAAAGACATAAATAGAAAGAAAATAGGAAGAAATCCGTATTAAAAATCAATATAATCAGTAATAGTCTCAATACAATGAAATCCTGTGCCCTATTCCTTAAAGAATTTATATGTAAAGGAACTTCATAGTCCAAGTGTGTCCTATTCCTTAAAGAATTGGTTATTGCACTTTGTCCAGTGTATAAATTCTCGTTTGCATTTGTTTATTTTTATTTTTTTTTCATTCTTCATCTTTGTACTCAATTCATTCTCGAAATTTTTTTATTACTTCGAACTTGCATATAGCTTAACTGCATCCTACGGCTCCTTAATGTTCATACCATTAGTCAATATCTTTGTCCTGAGTTCATAGTATTGATGAAGATAACATCTCAAAGATTTCAAGTGGGCAAAAGGAACTTCCTTTTGCACTTTGGCCTGGTTGGTCGCTTATTCTCCCTTGATTATCCTAATTGATTTATAACAAATTTAAAAAAAGAAAAAAAATATATCAACGAATTTTAATTTCCAATATGTTGCTGCACATTTCACATGTCAAGGAGACGAGGTTATTTTTACGTTTTAACATCTTATTGTTTACTGAGGTCCAAGCCAAAAGAATATCATGCTTCTTTTGCACATTTCAATTCATTGAAACCATAAAACAGATTTCTAGGACCCCTTATGGACTTCTCAGAATGGCTTCCTAAGTTCTTATTAATTTGCTAAAGCCTGTAATTCCTCGTAACAATCACTTTTTACCTTCTAATTTCATTAGAACTACTTATGAGTTTCTCTTTCTTCTGGTGTAAATGATTTTTAAATGGCAGTTCATGGAAGAGTGAATGCTATTGGTACACGTCAGGTCCACTGGGGGGATGAGGCATTGGGATGTAATGAATACATAAGATAATCAGAGGTTCTGTGAACATAAGTTAAAGCTTTCATGAGTATAAATTCTGAAACTTCTTTTTCTTTCCTGGGAGCTTTTGAAAATTTGTTTAACATTGGAGTTATTAGTTTTCAGTGGTTGGCTTATGGATGGACAGGTTATTATTTTGTTTATGAACTGTATGAAGTGCATATAATGGTAATATCGTTTGGCTTTATGCTTGTTGGTAGTGTTGCATGTTAGAATCATGGGGCTAGCACGATAGCTATGATCAAGTCAATGAGTTATTGTGGACTGAGCTTCGGGCTTTATACCGGAAACAAGGCTTGAACTCTATAAGCTGAGCTTGGACGAACCTGATCCTGAGCATGTAAAGTCTATAGAATGAGTAATTACTGGATTGGTATTGCTGTTGTGCATTTGCTTATTTCTAGAATGAGTCGCTTGGTTCCTTTCTAGTTGGGCTTGGATTAATGTCGTTGAGTTTGTTGACCACACTATCCTGTCTAATATATTTAAGTAATTCTAATTTACTTCAAACTATAGGCCTGGGCCATTGAGAATATATAATTTGGTTCTGCCTCACCAGAATATGATTGCTTTTTGAAAATTTTTATGCAATAGCATGTTGAAGATATAAATATCGATAAGTTCTTCTTATCTCTACTAGCATAAGCTGTCGTTTATTTCAACATGGGTTCATGTTTTACCGCCAAGCATTTATGTCAAGCCTTTGACGGGAAGGGGCTTGTTGGATGTATTAATTAATTCACTAATTCCTATGTATCCTTTTAGATGAGTTATTGATTAAATATATTGTAAAATCATATATTTCAAACTCTTGCTTGGTGAAACCATCATCGTTTAGTCTGTGTCTTTTCAATTTCATCTTCCATTTGCAACTCAAAAGATGGATCTTCCATTTGTAATTTGATCTTATGTATGTTGTTATTCTCTTTTGGAGTTTGACAATCATCTTTCATTTCTTTTTATACATGTTATGAGTTCTCTATCTAGCAGGTTCGCATGTGGCAATGAGATTCAAGGAATAGGACAATATTGCAACCTACGCCAGTGGCGGCTATTGGTGTTAGTTAACATTGTTTGAGCACTGTACCTTTTATTATTATACATCCAAAAAAAAAAAAAAAGGAATAGAGAGGATGTTAATTTTTTGGATATGATCTTGATTGTGAGTATAATAGCATTAAATGTGTTATTTGCCTCAAAAGAACTATAGACTTTTAAAGTAATTTGTACGCTTGAGATTTCAATCAAGACAAATTTTGTATTTCACGAACATGTTTCATATTATTGAATTTCGATTTATGTTTATGTTTCGATTGGTTTGGTCATTCTGTATTTATGCACGATTAAAAACTATTGTCCTGACTCAAAATAAGGTAAAATTTGCTACTCATTATTGTATATTTTTTATTGCTTTCGTAGTGATGGAAATGAAAAATAATTACAAATGGAGTTGATTTTAAGAACTTCAAACAATCCGTGGAATATGGACGAGTCATTAGTTTTAATCACGGAAACGTGTATAATGGCCAAATTGGAACAAAAATGAAAGTTGGTTACTAGTTCAAAATAAAAATAAAATTCAACAGCTAACATGAAATAATTTTATAAAGTTCTACCAATACTATGTTTAATACTATATTAACATTAATAAATTATTAAAATTTATTGAATAATCAGATTTTTTGAATAAAATATTATAAAAAATTATTCTAAAAATTTCAAAATAAACGTATTTTTCAATTTTATAATTTAAGAAACAATTTTTTAAAATGATAAGAGAGAACATATTTTCAATCATTTCAAAACAAGTACTCAAAGCATAAAACTAATTCAAAACTAAAACATCCCCTTAGTTTTGAAGATCAGCACTGAAATTGCAGCCAAAATAAGGTAGAGAACGAAGCGACCAACGGCTATTCAGCTACATACGATAAAACCTTCCAAAACCCTAACGAAATCCTCAAATTTAACTTTCTAATCAATCAATGGCCTTCTCAGTATCGTCAAACCTAATCCAATTTCCAAAAATCCCTACACGATACGCTCCGATGAACAAATTTTTCAAAGGTGATTCAATTCGATTTCCCGGATTATCCCATCAATTTCCCAGGTAATTATTTACTAATAGTTTTCCTTTTTTGCGTCCTGGCTGTTTATTCCGTTTTCAATTTAGCAATGGAATTTAGGATACTGGTTTCTTCAGGTTGCCCACACTATCTCCACCGAATAACGTAAGGGTGAAATGTGCTGCATCCTCAGCTGCCGGAAGTTCTAGTTCAAACAACGATTCTAATCCGTATGAGGTATTCTAGATTGCCGCTTGGTAAAATATATAAATATATATTTTTTTTCCTGTTTAGTGTAATTTAGCTCACACCCGCTCATGTTACTATATTGTCAAGATTCTTGGTGTAAATGCCCTGGAGGGATTCGACATGGTAAAGGCAGCGTACACAAAAAAGCGGAAGGATGCTGAGAGGAGAGGGGATGATGCAGCCGCTGCTCGAGTAGGTTTTTTTTTTATGCCCTGATGTATATAATTTATGTATGGTGATGTATAAAATATGATATGTGCAGACTTCTTCAAGATGTCTGATATTGGAAAATGTGTTATTTTCAGTTGGAAAAAGCTTATGACAAGATCATGATGTCACAATTAATGAAACGGAAGAAGGGTGAGACATTTGGTTCATTTAAGGTATGATAAATGGTTTAAATTTTATTTTATTTTTTCTCTGGATGTTCTGGATTTGATGAAAAATTATAGCATCATGAACAAAATTGTCAATGCTCCATTGTATGACATTTAATAATGCTTGGCATAAGGTTTGCTCGGTTTTTTTTAATGTGATAGATGTCATATAATGTTGATGAGTTGGCATCTAAAATACTGTAATTATTTCCTGAAAGAGGGTAGTTTCCTGCATCTTGGCATTCTATTGACTCGTTTGCTATTTGACTTCCTTGGCTGTAAGACGTTACTTCGGAATCAAGTAATGGAGCCAGAGTACTTCGGCAGTGGAATGTAGTAGCCTAGTAGGGATGGTTTGTAGCAAGATGGCATGAGACCCTTATAAATAGTTTTTTTGCCTTCTTAATTTAAGTTTAACTGCAGCAGTATACTATTTATGCTCTTGTATATCCAACATGTCGGCTTTTTTACTTTTAGGTCATTAGGTGTGCTTATGGCAGCAAGAGAAACATGCACCCATGTTTATGAAGCAGAAAGCTGATGCCAGCTGTTCTTAATCAATGAAATTCAGAATTTTGTGGGAGAAGTGGGAATGCAGTGTTTCACTTTCATTCTTTAAGCTGGATAAGCAAAGAATGTCAATGGAGTTTATGTTTGTGAAAAGGTTTTCATGAAGAAATGGTTCCTTTGCTTGAAACTTTTTCATCAATAATAAAATCCAACGTTTCATTATCAAAAATATGGAAAGGCGAGATGAGCTGCAAGATTAAAGAATAAAAAAACTGGTTTTTCTGAGACCTTGAACCTCATGAAAAAAATATTTCTATTTCCATCAGTTCTCCAATTGTCAATTCCCCCAGATAAAAGGCTACTTACTGTGTTGAAGCTACGGGCATATTTTTATTTTTTGATAAAACTCCACTGACTAGGAACTGTATTAATTACGACGATCAAAAACCCTTGGAGAAAATAAATAAGTCAAGCAAACCTATGATTATTAACTGATAAACAGAAATAATTTAGCCATTTAGCCATGGAAGTAACATGTGGGTCTCTTTTTGGTCATTTTAAGGAAGTTTACCTGTCATACTTTTTGACCGTGTCAGTGCAATTTTTTAACTCGCTATGATGGAGATTAGAGCTACTATGAATTTTTGTGGTTCAAGTATCATGGTGCTATTAGTAAGCAAATTCTGACGTCCATTCCAGTTGTTCATTAGTTGCCCTTGGAATCAGTGACCTAATGTTTCATCTGTTTAAATCTGTGACTTGATCAATTCCCTCTGTGTTATCTTAAATGAAGTTCAGGTTTCTAAGGATGTAAAGTATGCTGATAAGCAGCCAATTGTACCATGGGGCCCAAGGTATAAGTTTTTATCAGTTCATTCCAATGAATTGTTTAAATTTTAATGGTTTTGCTGTATCATTTGCATTTGATATTTCTATATTCTCTACCATGCTGTCTGCAAGCTTCTATATAATGTTAATTATAACTCCATATCAAGTACAGTATTCAAGCGTTCATATCTCATTATCGGTTATAGTAGTGATATATTGATGTGACAGTTCCTCATGTAACCCATCCATTGCATGCATGTACCCTGTTATTGCAAGTTTATAATTTGTTTTTCTTTTCTGTTTTTGTGCAATGGAGGCGTATATATGGCTTACAACTGCTCAATTGGGCTCTCTCCTGAGAACTCGTAGTATTAATCTATATTTTTGTTGATTTGTCTACATGGTTGGAAGTGAATTTAATGTTTCAATTTTGTATTCACAATTTTCTTAATTTCATCTTTTTTTTTCAAATTTATTATCTAGGAATCTTGAAATCACTTTTCAATGCCTTTTTGTGGGTCTTTTGGTGATTATGTTACTTAACTGATAATTGTGATGCCCTCAGGTTCACCAAGTCAGATGTCAAAGATATAAGAATCAACATGGCAATATCGGCTGTATTTGTAAGTAGAAAACTTTTATCAGATAGAGTACATGGTGGCAGAGCACTGAATCCATTTTACTTAGCAATTATCGGGATCTTAAACTCTAGCTCCTTGCATTCTTTAAGACCTTTTTGATTCTCATTTTTTTCAAAATGCATTTTTCTCTCTCTTCTTTTTAACCACACATTCTTCATTAAAATAATATTACGCGTAAATAAAAAAAAATTTCTTATTTTTCATCCACACATTTTCCATAAAAATGGGTGTCAAATACCCTCTTAATGGTCTTCTTTTCCTTACTTAGCACGTTCATTTATGTGTGCGTGTGTAACCAAATATATTTTAATTCTTCCATTCCTAGACTCCAATTTTTAATTTTCCCTCTTAAGAATTTAAATAAAGTGAGAAATTATAAACCTGATTCAAGATACAATTTTTATGTGGCATTTCAATAATAGCCAATCTCTAAGGTTATTGATGTGTGCAAGAGTCCAGAGCTCAGTACATGTATTACCTGATAGGTTGCTACACTAGTTGAATATTGACCCTCAGCTATGGTCAGCATGTGATAGGTTATGTTTCAACAGATAGACAAAGTTTAATTCAAACTTCAAAGTGCAAACCTATTCATATTTTCCTCATTTTCGTGATTTATTGCATCAATTTTCAAGGGTCTGAAACAAAAAATGACTTTTATATGAACCAGAATCTTATTTCATAAAATAATTTATTTTTGTTCTTGAAAAAGTTAATTATGCTCATTAAGATTGTAAGGCATTAAGTTTTCTACCATGTAAATGTATGAATCATGTAAAAAGGGATAATGAGTCAGATTCTTAATGAATGCTAATTAATATTGCTGATTTTCATGCAAACAATTTGGGTTACTATATCCTTTCTTCTCTTCCTGCAGACAGCTTGGATTTTTATCAAACGTTCTGCTGAATATAAACCATTACAGTTCTTGGCCTTCGTGTTTGTATATCGGATATTTGAGAAGTTAAAGGCATTCGAACCATCTGCATCATCTACTGTTTCAGTAAGTTGTAAATGTAATTCGTAATGCTTTTGAATCTTTAATGATTTTTTTTGTTCAAAGTAGTTCTTATTTGTTCATGCAAGGATCAAGTGATTATTAAGATTGTTAAATATTGAACTTACACGGTGGTTTCTGCTGCAGGAAGATGGTGAGGATGATGGGAGAATGTTGCGAATGGGAAAAAGGTTACTTCGATCTCTGGCATTGGTTTTCAGTTGTATAGCTTTTGCATCTTTGGTATGTGATCCAGTTTTATTCATTTGCTCCAGATAGTCCAAATTAGAATAGTAATAGTGTAACACCCCGAATTTAATTATCTTTTAATAAAGCATACTAATTAATTTTTGAATAAGGGAGTTCGTCACTAGTTAAGTCCACGTATGATTATGATTTTGTATTTATCTTTGGGATACCAGGGTCCACTGTTTTCTAACGTAGCAATTTAATTTCATTTGTTGCTGTTTCCATGATAGTTAACTACAATTTATACCAAATCCTGGACTAGACTAAATTAATTCTTATCCAGTCTAATCCAATTTACAAAACCCACCCTTGGTTATGGTACAAAGGTCATACTTAGATCATCTTCAAGAGGCTTTTTGTTTTTGAAGAGCATCAATAAATTTAAAGAGTAAAAATTTTAAAGTAAGTTTTGCTACTCTAAACAAATATTTATTATTTTTCTCTATCTTTTTCCTTTACTAGCTTTCCTCTAAATTATTATATTATTTTTTCTTTGAAAATTGAAATACCTTGAATGTATTTAGTCTCTGTTTGGCCCTCATTAAATCTCATCAAATTAAATAAATTTTTTTTCTCTTCTTTTTTCAACCACACAATTTTCAATAAAATAACATTACATGCAAAGTAAAAACTTTTCATTCTTTTACAATCATCCATTTTTCAAAAAAATACTATTCCCCCAATATAATCAAAATTAATGGGGCCAATCGGGGGCTTAATTATAGAGAGTGAATTTGGAGGGCCAAACTCACTCTTTAAATTAAATGTTAATTTAAAGAGTCTTTTGGAGTATAATTTTTGAGGTTGACTTTTTAAAATAAAAAGCATTTTCTTGGAGTATAATTTTAAAGGTTGACTCTTTAAAATAGAGATCGTCTCATATTTAAAAAGTTTCTTGGAGATACTCTAAGGGAAATAATTATCTTGTATGTTTAGACATATGAAGAAATTAGTAGATCCTCTATAGCGCAATGTACAGCATACTATTTTGGTCACCTTGAAGGAGAGTGGATACTCCCAAGCTAGATGGCTTACTTTTTCTCCCTTCCAGATACAGAATGTTTGCAATTTCAAATTTTAGTCGTCTATCATTTGTATCATAACTGGTCGTGTTGAGTTCAATTTACAACTTTTTTTTATTGTTTAATTGCAGGGATACACTGGCCTCTTAAATGTCATTGAATTTTCTGTTGGTTATGTACCCATTTTCCTGTACAACAACCAGGTAACAACCATTTTCTACCGTCATAAAAGAGACGAACTTTACATCTGGATGTATACAATCTGTGTAATATGATAAAATCATCCGATTCCCCAAATCTCCAAACTATTAATCCACGTGATAGTTAGGAATTCTTTCGTGGTGGTGTAGCTAATCGAATCTGTCCTTACAGACTGAATTTTGAAATTAGAACTTCTATCCAATATAGTACTAGTGTAACAAATAAATCTTTAGAATTTATGTTTCGATGCACAAATTGGGATGTACAGTGAAATTCTTTTGACCCATAAATTTAATAAGTGATTTTCTGTTTCTGATTAATATTTTTATTGCAATCTAGTCTAATCTAGTATTGTAGGAACGATGCACCAATAATGTGTTCTTAGGATTGTTACGGAAGGAGAGATTAATATGCCATATTTCATTCAAATTGACACGCTGGTGTTTCTACCTTGAGGTTGATCTGGATTGATAGATATGATTGATTTATTTATTTTGCAGGAATTGCTTATAACTGCATCCACGGCACTCTTTCTTTATGTTCTAGCATCATACTACAGATGAAGAACATCCGCGTTTATTCAGGGGATGGTGCAGCGATTTGCTTACGAGGAATTTGTTTCATTCGTGCCCAGTAAATTTTGTAATAGTAAGACAATACAAAGTCTCAGAAACAGTTTTCAGAATACACAAGAATTTCAAACTGGCCGTGAGGGAATTCAGTAACATTTGGTGCTCGATTAATTTTTGCTTGTTAGTTCATTTTAAGATCTTTATCGTATTTTTGGGAGAGATTTATTCAAGTGAGAATGATTTTTTAAAAGTTTGTTAAAAAGTAAGGAAAAAGTTATGGATCTCATAGAATCTGTTGGAAATAACCAAATTCTTAGTTTTCGTAATTTTAAAAGCTTCGTCCATCCACACTAGGAGTGTCAATGAGTCGAAACTCCGGGCTCGGGCTTTTTTACGTTGAGCTTTTTTTGGCCCAAGTCGAGTCAAGCAAAAGGTAGGCCTAAAAATTTAAGCTCAACTCGAGCTTTCGGCTCGGGTTTTGCTGAGCTCAGCCTGCTTGAATTATTATTATTTTTTTCCCTTTGCTGCCTGTTTGGCAACAAAATAGCTGCCAAACATAAGCTGTCGGTTAAATGCTACCTCAATAGGTAGCCTGGAGATTTATTTTTTTTGGCTTTTTTTTTTTAATTTAAGAGGGTCAGCTCGGGCTCGAGCCGACTCCTTAAAATGGGGTTTGGCCCGAGCATTGGCTGGGTGCCGACTCGAGCTTTCGGCTCGGGTTTTGCTGAGCTCAGCCTGCTCGAATTATTATTATTTTTTTCCCTTTGCTGCCTGTTTGGCAACAAAATAGCTGCCAAACATAAGCTGTCGGTTAAATGCTACCTCAATAGGTAGCCTGGAGATTTATTTTTTTTGGCTTTTTTTTTTTTAATTTAAGAGGGTCAGCTCGGGCTCGAGCCGACTCCTTAAAATGGGGTTTGGCCCGAGCATTGGCTGGGTGCCTCCGAGTCTCGAGCTGGGTTGGCTCGGGCTTTTTCGTGGACGAACCCGATTGCTACCCCTAATCCACGCTTCATCCAAAAAATGATCGCCAAACTATTTTTACTAATATATCTGTGTTACGGTTCTTATCAACCTGGATTGCGTGGCAAGTTTTCATGTTTTCTGTAACCTAAACGACAACTTTATAATATAAGAATAATAACTGCAATCTATGCACATATAACATTGTATATGCTCCTGGTTCTACAAAGAACATAAAACGTGACATCTTTATTATCACTTTAGCCATTATTGAATATGTTTCATCACCATTGCAAGCTTTGTATTCATGTGAAATCTGCAAGCGTACAAAATCGTTGATAAGTAATATATTTAGTGAGTTGAGAGTATCATTTTACAAGGAATAAATTTCAATTTAAGTTTACTATTTATGTATGGAATTCGAATTATGTAAAACAAAATAGAGATTTCAATTAAATCTAAGAAAGCAATAAAAATTTAGTTTTTATTAAACCATGGATGATTGTATTGAATTTTAACTCTGCCTATTGTTATTTATTTTAATTCTTGATTTATAATTTAGTTCTGTTCATGTGTTCATGACAATGGATAAAACTATGATATATAATTTTCTTTTTTAAGACAAATTAAATATATCTCAACTATGACTCGATTATATTCCTGGATTTCAATTAAATCTAAGAAAGCAATAAAAATTTAGTTTTTATTAAACCATGGATGATTGTATTGAATTTTAACTCTGCCTATTGTTATTTATTTTAATTCTTGATTTATAATTTAGTTCTGTTCATGTGTTCATGACAATGGATAAAACTATGATATATAATTTTCTTTTTTAAGACAAATTAAATATATCTCAACTATGACTCGATTATATTCCTAAGCCGAATTCAAATGGTTAGAACGCATTAAAGTTTAGATTATCTAATGATTGCATAAGTAATAAATGTTATTTCTAACATCTATTCCTCATATGTTAATTTTGCAACGTTGTAAACTTATTGTAAGTCTTTTAATACTACAATAAGCAACTAATTATCTAATTGGTGGCCAATCAATTCAATAATGCAATGGGTAAGCAAAATTAATCAAGAAACGCAAGAATTAATCTAAAATATTAGTCTTGAATTTAAAATAAATAAACAAAAGAGTTCATATTCATCCAATACAAAAGTGGGTCTAGCCTAGTATATTAATATATAAATTACAAGAAAAATAATAGAAAAATATCACACGGATCATGAAAGAACACAAAAGATGTTGATATTCAAGTCCAAAATTGAATTCTTCAAAATCTTGATGTAATTGAACTTCAATTCCTTGGTATGGCTTGATTTCCTCTCTCAAAATATAGTATTTGGCCTCTTGTTCTTGATAAATTTGATAAAACTATTGTGTATGAAGATGCAAGAGAGTTCTTTTTTTCATTGCTGCCCATGTCTTGTATTTATTCGATGAAATTAGGTTAAAATTCACATCCAAATTACTTTCCAAAAGAGTTTAATCAAATAAGAAAAGTTGCTTTTGCGTGTGCATGATTTTGTCTATGCACAACATTAAGTATTTTAGTCATAACTTTCTCTTTTAGTATTCGATTAAGGTGATTCAAAGTGTATTGGAAAGCTAATTCAAATATCTATAATTCTTCTTGAAGTACATTTTTCCAATTCGAATGTTTTCTATCCCAAAAATGGGTTTCAAGTTGACCAAAAATCTGGAAGATATCTTATGTCATTGAAAGTTGATTATGTTAACATTCTGATCATATCCCTTTCCTTTTTGAATTCAATTTGCATTCAATTGCCTCCTATCAATTTTCAAAGTATCTTTTGTAGTCCAAATCGACCATTGGATATGTACATTTTGCTCCCCATACTTTGAATTTCTTTCATATTTGCTTCTTTTTCATTTCTTTCTTCTAACTTCACCAATTTGCATTGAGTTCAACCTAACGAACATAATTAACACATAATTAAGCTATCAAATCACTAACAAATACTCCAATTTACTGGCCTGGATAAGTGTACATACACTTATCACTTTGGCACCAAACTACCCCAAATTCCATCTAGGCAAGACAAAATCTTTGAGATCAAAATTTCATAATCGAACCAATACATTCAAGTTGGTTGTGCTATCAATGAGCCCATAATAACCGAAAGCATTAAAGGTGTCATGTGTCTACTGAAAGGGTAGCATACAAACATCTTGTTAATTGTGTAATAACATGAAAGGTTTCACAGGACGAAAACAATTATAAGAGTTTGTCGGAAAGATGATTTAGGGAATTTTGTGATAGTAACAACCGACTCAATAGGAGGTGCACATGAGATTTACTATAGGCTCATCAATGATTAAGCCACACGTGTCTAAATGATGTAAAAGGACCAAGAAGCCCCAAAGCTTAGAAAATTCCAAAGCCTTGTGGTTTTACAAGGAAACTAGGCAACATTAGAAAACCTCGATTTTAATAGTCGGCTTAGAAAAAAAATACTTTGAAACCAACCTGATTTGGATTTGGGTTAGTTTCGAACCTTTTTTATTTTGTTTCCAGGTTGAGTTTTTACTCAAAACGAATGATCGGTTCGATGGTTGTGTTGGACATAAACATGATTTGTGTCCCCCCCCACATAGGAAAAGGACTTATAAAAATATCCGTGTCATTTAATTATCAACTGCCACTCTCTTTTTGAGTTTTTTTACTATATTTTGAGAAAGATAGAAGCGAAAATTCATATTTAGCTAATTTGCTACTATTACAATTTTAGCGTTATATTTAATTCATGGGTGGCAAAAATGAAAATTGAAATCTTTGAGCTATAGTCTTTTTCCAGTAGGACTATTTGTCTAACAAACGTCCACTGTCACCTCTATCACGTGTCTTTACTTACCTTCTAGTCCAATAAGATTTTTAGCAGTGCATTTCACGGTGCTATGACTACTCTGATATTTAACTCAAAGTAAATGAAACAATTTTTGCCAAGCCAAACATTGTTGCAAAGTCATACAAAAATAAAAATCTCTCATTTTTTTATTTTTTTTTCATTTTTATAGCATTATCTCAATTCATGGGACATTAATGAAAATTGAGGCCTCCTCTTTCCATTAGCTCTTTCCTAAGTGAGCGAATTGCATGTAGAGATCTGTAAGGGCTTATAGTTTAATTGGTTGAAACGCACCACTCATAACTATAATTAGTGACGGACGCAGACATTTGAAATTAGTACGACACAATATAACTTATAATAAGTTACGAGAAAATTTATGTATTCGATATCTTATTACAAATGTTCTTTACACACTTTCATACTTTGATAACATTCTATAATTACGAGCCTGTTTGAGCCACATTATAATGAAAATGAGAATGAAAAATAGAACCGTTATGGACCCCACACCAGATATAGAAATTCAAAAATGGTGGCTTGATGTGATAGATAACGGTCATATTTTTCATTTTAATGAGGTAAAAATGTGGCTCAAACAGGGGCTACATCAATTTTGATATTTTCAAATATATATTTCAACTAATAGAAAAAAATTTATTCAATTGCATTTTTGAATGAAATGATGGTATTGGTAGCAGAATTATATTTTCCAATCCCCAAATGTAATTTTACAAATAGAAAACAGATGAAAATAACAATGAAACTTTCAAGAAATAGTAGTGATCAAGAATGAAATTACCAAGAGGCAGTAGTAGTGGAAAACACCAAGACGCAGATGCCATAACTCCAATTGAAGGGGTAATTTTTAGAAAGGCTGGAAAATTGTTCCCTTTTTACACAATGGCCTCTTTTATCAAAAATACTCTTTTTCCCTTACTAAAGTTATTTGTAAGATGTGTCTTATTTTTTTTTTAAGGATTTATCAATCAGGACCTATATCTATATTTTTCAATCTTTCGAACACATTTAAATATTCTTGTATCTAGATAGTTCTTCAAAGATTATAGGTTGACCTTTCTTGATTATATATTCTCGAACTAATCCTTCTGAAATTTCTTCTTGTATATTTCTATGTTTGGTTATGATATCTTCTACCTTTCTTATTTCTCTACTAGTTTTTACAGAATTAAATCATATATTATTTCTACAATTATAATCTGTATCTTTATATATTTCTTCAATTTTTTCTTTACCAACAGGAAATATATCATCAGATTTTTCATCTAATTTAAGTAAAAACGAAACATCTTTTTCATCTAAAAATAATATAAGATTATTATCATTATTAGTAGTGGAGGTGGATGCTTGTGAATTGTTCA